TGCAATGGATAATCTAGTTTGTAGATTATCACACAATACAAAACGGCATTTTATAAATAATATTCATTTCTGCAAGAAGTTCTACCTGTGTGCGCCCCATTTTATTGACTTCACTTGATCTTGGACCACGGCATTTTATGCATACAAAACTTGGCACTCAACTGCAATAAGCATTGCAAAAATTTAAATTGAATTCTTAAGTTTCTCTCTTTCTCCCTGTCCCTCCCTTCACAAAATTATATTCCAACATACTTTAAAACTCCGTTTATCTTCGTGCATCCATCGATATTTCTTTTTTTTTTAAATAATCAAATTTAATCTTTCACCAAGGAAAAAGAATGAACTACGGATCGAAAAGAAGAATGTGAAAAGTTCTACATTCTAATCCATCATGCAATAAATCGATCCATTTTTTCCATTCTCTGTCGCTTTCTCTCCATATTCGTCGTGTTTCTGTATTTTCTATTGGTAAAAAAAACGGAATCGAATTGCGATGAGAAAATTAAAAGAAGAAAAAATAAACTCAAAAGTGAATGCGAATTCATCAAAGCATAAAAAAAAAAAATCGCTTATTATAGATTGGAATCCAAAAAATGTTGTTCAGTGATGTTCATTCAGCTTGTGCACAAAGAAATCGGATTGTTTGAGAGAAGAAAAAAAAACTGTTCCAAGAATTCCGAAACAAAAGAGCGATTTCAATTGAAATTAATTTGCTAATAGAAAAAGAACAACAATTTACTCTTTTTGATGCCGTTGTACAGTTTATCCATTACGTTAATTCGATCAAATTGAAATGAAAACGGAACAAAATTACCGCTTTTTTCGGTGTTTTCCATTTTGTAATGCCACCATAAAGGAATAGGGTTTTGTATCTGTCTCTGTGTGTGTGAGAGAGAGAAAAATAAAATATCAAATAACCTTGACTCTTTCATGTAATGCCATAGCCTAGTTAGCTGAATGAGTGTGCTTCGTTATTTAGGTTAAATGGAAAATCCGAACGAACGGAGCCACACAGTGAAGCAAATACTAGGGGGTAGACACATAGAATATTACTTGAGATATTCACCGAAATTGAAGGTATTCTTGGTATTCTTGGTATTCTCAGTTTTAGACGAAATGTCAATGCATTCAGCAACGTCTCACAATGTGCATATATGAATATTATCTTCCAAATATTAAAAAAACTTTTTCAACGCTATTAAGTGTATTATTTCAATTGGTTCAATAAATGCAAAAACAATTTTGATAAAAATAACAGAAAGAAAACAGAAAAAATTAAAATAAATTTCGAAATGGTGAATGTTAAAACGAAATGGAAAAAACTTGAAATCTTTATTGCCGATATCAGTTTGATATTTGGTAATCACGGTATTCACATTTTCGGTACAAGTAATCTTTAAATAAGTAAGTAATTGTCGTATTTGAAAATTGATAGGTATTATAACAATTCATTGGTATTCATTCATTCTCTATTGTGTCTACCCCCTAGAGCAAATAAAGCACACCAAACAAATATTCCAAAGACACACGGATCACATTCAAATTCACGCGCCGTATCTCCGTGTGCATTGTAATACTATTGCTTTGTGAGGGTTACATGAAGAGATGATTCAATAAAAATTGTTCGCGCTTTTGATTCTCTCACTCAGCAAACCGAAATGATGAGCGCCACAGAAACTTGAAAGAGTGAAATTCGTTTTGATGTCAAAATGAAATCATATGAATATATCAATCCAAAAAAAAAACACATCCAATCACATTTGACGATTGATGTTCGCACTGGCCAATCATTCGAATTCCCAAAGGATTCGGTGCAATCGTCGGTGGGTTTTAATACTATAGTTAGTAGTCACGATAATCGCGAACGCGACGACCTGCAGCTACATTTTTGTCACGATATCTTTTTCGCTTTGACGACATGCCAACTCAAAGCGGATTCCTTTTTTGCAGTGTTTTATTTGTAGACTCAACGCTTTGTGTCAATTGTGCTGAAATGTACGATGCATTTAAGTCATCTCATATCATTTTTACCGACTATACAAATGATATATCCAAATGAAAATAGCTTGTTTATGACAAATAAAAAAGAATTTCCATTGTGAAACAAGAAAACAGAGAGAGAGAGAGAACAAGAGAAAAAACAACATACACATTTCAGAGAATCGTTCATTTAAAATTCATGAAGGCAATGTATATGTACAAAAGCCTTTGTGAGCACGTAATCAAAACCAACGAGAGATAGGCCACAAGCATTTAACAAAAAAAAGGAACGTCCACTGCAAAGGATTCCCATAAATAGTGAGTGAAAAAAATGGTTGCAAACTGCATCAAGAACAAAAAAAAAAAAACAGTTCGATGCTGCTAAAGAAAAACATAAAATAGAAAGTGTGGAAAGAAACTGCAATATCTACGCGTTCAAAAGAAGAAAATAATAAGAAGAAGTAGTAGAAAAAATGCAAGATTTACGGAAAACTTTTTAAAGTAATGTGAAAAATGTGAAACACTTGCAATATATTTATATTATTGCAAATCTCAATTAATAAAATGCAGAATTGGTAGTTAAATCACAGATACATTGAGAGCGAACGAGATAGAGATGAAGTTAGAGAGTCTGTTTTCAATGCACCGAACAAAATTTAGTCATATACTCACAGTACTACAGAGTGCGACCCTGGAAGTTCTTGAATTTAAAAGCATTTTAATTAGCACAATATTTAGTGCAATTTTGTCGCTCGTCTCTCACGCTCGATGTTACTCAACGACGATGTTTTATTATAAGTTGTTAGCTCACCGCCTCCGCCCATTCTAAATTATATTTGTGCAGCTTTTATCGGATGCTGAAAGCAATATATTTTGTCCTCACTCATTGTATGTGCACTTTTTTTTTTGAATTGCTTTCACTTGTAAAAATGCACTTGCTAAATTTCGAGATTTAAATGAGATGGAACATGAAATCGTGCATTGAATATAGAACAGCATTAAAATTTGCTTACATCAAACGACGTCAGGCTAAAAATGAATTGTCATAGCACCTGATTTGAGATTGATTGCAACCGTTCGCATTTGCCAACCGAATCCCCCGAGAAAAAAAATATTACACCCACGCATTGTCAAATAGAAGTGAAATTCGTGTTCTACTTTTTTGTTTGCTGAATTTTTTTCATTTTCTTTCTTCAGTTTTGCTCTACAAGTCGTGGCACATTTAATTCGCCGTATTGTTTTTTTCTCTCTTTCTATCTATCCACTTTTTTTGTGAACAGTTGTTGCCAACGCCCTCGCTTCCCTGTAGTATGTATTAAACCGTATCGCTGGTGGCTGTTTGTAAGTCTTGTTCTCCAGAAAAAATTGTGAGAATACTCGTATGTGCACGCTAACGCAATGAGGAAAGTAGTTCGCCACCACTTCATATAGTATATTTTATTGTATAGTCTATGGATTATACATTTTCATTGTGCCTTGCTCCCAATTGGTGTGCGCTTGTCGTTGTTCAATGATTGTTCGGCTGTTGTTTGTATCCAGTGAAAGAGAGAGAGAGAGGATGAGCGATGCTCGGGAAGGAGTGTGTAGGAGATCCGAAAGCATTCTGAAATGTGTGCTAATATGTTCATGTCTCCTCTATATGTATGTGTGCCGATTTCGTTGTTGTACCTATTCTGTAATCTCCATTCGTGCCCCGGTTAATATTCATCTGCCATCGTAGTACACTGTCTTTTATACTTCAATAAATGAATGGAGATCCTTTTAATTTTAAGTGGGTTACATTGTAAAATGAGTCTTTTTCTCTCCTTTTCTGTTTCTCTGTCATGCAAAACTTGGAAGGCCATCAAACCGTTGCTTGACAAGTGTTGAAAAATAGACAAACGACAAAAAAAAAACGATGCCAGAACAGAGAGTCAACAATATGAAATAATAAAATAAAATATACAAATGTCTGCAAACATTTTAAATAGAATGCGAATAACGACAAAATGAATGGATTAATAGAGTATGAAGAAAGTTTTGGTAGACACGTACGAATCGTTTCAGCTTAATGCCATTCATTCAGCGAGTTTATATGTGTGTGTGAGAACGCGTTCAAAAATGACATTTGTCGATGCCTTTGTTATTTTTTGGCAAACAACCCTTCCGTACTCTCATTTTTCAGAACATCTCACATACTTCACACACATAGTTTCATTACTTTTGAACTTAATTTAAATGTTTCACGACGACAATGATCGTGTATGACATATAATGCAAATAAGAAGAGCGCACACGAAAAACTTTTTGCATTTCAAATGCTCATCACAGTCGAGCTGATGCAATGATGCTGTAGTTTATGTTCCTCGAAATTACTTGAAGAAAATTTCCTAAGTAGTGTAATTATGACGACGCATTTATCTTATTTTACGCACTTGAGTGTTCATTTACGGCCTTTGCCGAAGTTTTTCCAATGCATTCCAACACATTGTTGCTGCTATTGCCCTCCCTTCTCTCTTTTGCTCCCAATTTATGAGTTTACAAAAACAGCACGTTAATATCTTGTTTAAAAATATTATGTATGAATGGGTTAGAATAAAAACTCCACTTGTATATTTTGTCTGTGGAAATAAAACAAGAAGTTTTTCAGTTCACATTCGATGGATTCGCTTGCATCATTTAATTTAAACTTTTTATTTGATTTTTTTATCTTCCACTTCTTCTGACAAAACATCGGTTTTTCTAACCAGTTCTACAAAATATGGCTCCATAGCCAATAAGCATGTTTTTTGGGTGATAAACATTGTGTGTTTGTGTTTTCAAGGAAATATTATTATTATTATTATTATCTTGACTTAATATCAGAATGTTGCAACAGAAGAAAATTCAACGAATGAATTATATATTTGGCAATCAACTATGAACCAAATTTACGATTCACCATATACAATACAATTTATATAAAATGCTCTAATTATATTTTAAAAAAAACTTTGTTCTCAATTATTCATCTTGACGTTTTTTTTTTCTCTTTTTTGCAGGCCACGACGCCGATCCGGCTCAAGCATTGTGGTATTGAGCGGAAGTGATTCAATTGATGACTATATCAAATCAGACAATATCGAACACTATCGGATAACCGACGGAACCTACCGAGATTCACACAACTTAGAAATGCTAACGATGATGCCAATGAATCAAGACAATGGTACGTATGATTGAAAACCGAAAAATGTAGCAGTATTTTGTGCTCAAGATTTATCCACTTAGTAACAAAACCAATGGGAAATGGCAAAGTTTTTTTTCCGTCCAAGTTTCATCCATAATTGGATGTTGAACTAATGAAAGAGGAAAAAATCAACCGCAAAAAAGGACATTCGCCACACTAAAAAGTTATCCAAATAAAAACCAAATGCATGTCTTGCAAAAACTTACGTTTCGGCTATTTACTAATGCACTTTTTATGAGTTTGTGGCTTGAGCAAAAGAGCAAAAAAAAAGAATGTTATTTTTTATGGTGCTGGCTGTTCAAATACAATAATAGAGAAAAGCAAACGAGAAAAACTGAGACTGGAATTAGCGATACCAAATGAGAGCGCTTCATTTGCAGAATGCAAGTTTTGTTCATATAGCGCTGTTTTTAAATGCAATCTGTCATTCCGGCACAATAGCTCTTTGGTCCGAATTAATTGTCGTTTTTCTCGATGCAAAAATAACCTCATCTTCATAACAATAACAAAAATTCGTGGAACGTGCAAAATCGCCTGAAAGTGTGTCGTCGTAATGCTGAGAATTGGTAATAATACACGAACACATTTTGCTCTCCCTCATTGCAATTTTTTCAAGCGGTAAAACACGCTTGGTTTTGCGACTATTCACAAAAATGAATCATAAACGAAATGAATTTCAGTACACATATTAAAAAATAATAAAATTGTAAGGAAAATGTTCGAGGTCAAAAAATCCCAAAATGCATGGAGTGCGGAAAAAATAATGTAAACATACGAAAAAAAATTGTTTTACGATGTCGTGCGTAAGCAAAGCGGCTTTTCAAACATTTTTTGCATATTTGCATGGTATTTTCTGCTATTCTCGTATGTACTCATGCGAACCGACACACCGTGCTCGTTCTGGAGCTGAGGTTCTGAACGATGCATTTCATGTAACTTGGTGCCGACACACACATAGTATCCACTTTTTGACACAGCAAATCTCAATTAATGAAGACGGCTACACGGTCGCTTTACAGTTTTCTCGAATTTATGTCAAAGACTCAAATTACACATGACACTAATTTCAGATAGAAAAAAAAAACGTTAAAAACTAATTGCGCGCACGTTTAATTACATATTGCATGCGAAAAAAACCACGTTCCTCTCTCTCTCTCTCTCATACGTACAGCGACACGCCGACACAACTTAAAGAAAAAACAGTAGAATGATAAAAAATTAAGTAATTTCCACATTGTTGCTATCTCTAATCATTTTGTGTTTGCAAATCCAAATAGGTCCACATCGCGAAATGGCAGTTGATGTTCCCGATTCGTTTATTGCACGGAATAAGACACCACCACGATATCCACCACCCCGACCACCCACCACACAGGTAATTTATACGCCAAATGGTTCACAAAAACAGCCGTTGTTGTCAACATCATCGGCAACATCGTCGCTAAAATCCGGTTCATCGTCCATTGGAAATGGTGGTGTGTCACTCGATTTACAACCACCACCATCATACACATCATCCACAAATGTCGATAACAATCATGCAATCATCAATACGAATCTTCATCAAAATAACAATCATCACATGAAAAATTCATCGTCGTCATTCGACAGTTGCAATGAATTCAGTAAAAAATCATCTAGTAAATGTCCATCATCGTTGGGCTCGGTATGTGAATCGATTGGTTTCGATTCGATGAGCTATCGAACAAAATCCCGTGGTTCGCTTAGTACACGTAGTTCATCATCGGGCGGTGAAATCGGACCGCCTGAATATGATTTGGGACCACATCGAGAAATGGCCGTTGATGTTCCCGATAATTTTGTTGCCAAAATCAAAATGCCGCCACGCTATCCGAAAAACGCTACCACTACAGCGGCCACATCGAATCCACTACAAAAATCAAAAGAATCACTATCATCTACAAATTCAACATCGACCACAACTGAAAAAGACGCAATCATTACATCCACAACAAATTCACAGACAATCAATAACATTACAACACCACAAACGCCAAACCGAAACAGCGAGGTATTTTTTTTGTTTCTTCATTTTACATTTAGTTTTTGTTTTTTCGGTTTTGGGATTCTTTTTATGTATTGTATAGTTTAACAATTGGTTTGATTTTTTTTAGAGAATATTTTGGTTTATCATTTCATTTTTCATTCTGGTGTTCCATTTTGTTTTTATCAGTTGTTTTATACTTTATTGCTCTGGGGGCTTTTGTGCATACACATTTGACACGGCTAACCACAACGACAAATGTACTTTCAACACGCTTGAACCATTATAAATATCTTTAAATGGAAATTATTTTGGACGCATTTGAGTATCAATAACAAATAAATATGTGTGCATTTGAAAATTCGTTACACGAATATGACGGTGTTTCAATTGATCACATACACCGGCACATACAAAGTAATCAAGACACCAAAATATAGGATTTGTTCAATATAGAAAGAGGAGTGCAATAATTGGTGTACATTGCATGTATAACACGCATACTTACATGATGGTCCGTTGTCAAACAAAGTAAAACAGCTAATGAATTAAACAAATAAGCTTAATCATGTTTATTCAATTAGGTGATTGTTCCCCCGATGGTGCTTATGTTTTGTGGTACAAGTATACACTTTTGATTTGCGCCATACGCGCCCTCCACACACACACGCACACACTCTACTGTTTACACTTGCTCTTTGAATTCGGTAAATGTTGAGATAACCGCATGCTATCCGCCTTTGTCATACTAGATATAACATTGAATGTTCAAAAAAACGTTTCGGTTATTTTCAAAAAGAACGAATTTTCAATCAAATTCAACCATTCATCGAACAAGAAGATGAAGACAAGAAAAAAAAAAACAAAATTATTTTTTTACGGTCACAACAAATTTACTTTTATTACATTGTTAACTAATATCATTGAAATACCTGAGAAGTAACACCCAATACTGTAGAATGAAGAAAAAAAGGGCAAAACAAACACATGTTCACAAATCAAAAGAAAAACACCGAAACAAAAAGGCATATTCATAGTCTTTACTTCATTGGAAACGGAGATAAAATTGAAAAAAAAAAAAAAAAAGAAAAAAACAAATTTGAATAATTTTCGATGGCTTTTAACAGTTATCCAAATATTTAGGTAGAATTTTTGTTCGGGGGATTTCTTTTCTCTCACACTAGAATAACACTTTTGTGCAAGAACACATTTGTATGGGGTTTTTGTGCATTTTCGTTTCATAATCTATCGTTTTTGATTTTGCTGTTTTTTTTTTATTGAAGTTTGTTTGTTATTTTTCGATTGGCAAAAAGATTGTTTGATTTTATTTATTTATATCTGGGAAAACTTAAAACATATTTTACGATCTATTTTTCAAACACAAACATACTCATCCCATAATGCCAAGCTGTGTACACTATATCTCACCTCAGACATTTTTTACATTATCACACACTTACATAATTCATTCTCGTTGCAACATCAGCAAAACACTAGAACACCATTTTCCATTGGTTTAGCGCGCATATTCACGAGCTGCATATAAAATCCCAATAGAGACAGAGAATAAAAAGGAATATGCCGAACAAAGAATCAACAAATCAATTGATTGCTTATTGAAACGTTGTAAATATTAATGTTTGAAATGCAGATATGAATCGGAAACATGAAATGTTCAAATTAAATTTCAAAATATCTCTACTTTTCTGTCATAATTACATAAATTAAAACATTGCTCTTGTCAGCATCGGACTGAAGTGATTTATTAATAATGGGTGTTAATTGAATTTTACAGCTTAATGGATCAATTCGACCGGTACCACCGCCACGCGGTCATTTGAATTTGGAGAAAGATGGAAGAATAGTAAATCGAGCGCCAGCACCACAAGTCCCCGACCGTAATCCGGCACTACAAAGTAATCAAATTGCTCAAGTTGTTGATGCAACACCCGAACAAATTGAAAGCATCAAAAAATATCAGGTGAGTGTGTTTGTTCCTTTTATCTCATTCATTTCAATTTTCATGCAAAACGATTGAGCGGAATGTTTTAATGTTTGTTCAACTATCGAGAAAACAGTCTTCTGTATGAACAAAAAACAAACAATATTAATTCATGGAAATGAATACTATTTATTATAACACGAATCACAAAAAATGCGTCCAAAGTGACAAAACTGTTTTTTATGTATAATGCCCACAGAATAGATAAAGATGAATTATGCATTATGAAACAACAACAAAAATAACACCATTTTTTATTTTGTCAAAAAAAAAAAAACAATTTACCGACAAAAAATCTCTGTATACCCGGGGTCTTAACACAAAAATGTGTCATCCATAAATATTTCAATGAAGAAAAAAAAACAGTTGTTTATTGATGTTATATTTTTTCCGCTTGATTAACCTCGGAAATTAATATTCAACAATTTATTTTTGGTTTACAATACAATAACTTCATTTAATTGTTTCGATGCTAAAAAGGCACATATATGTGCTCACAGCGACATCTGACGTATTTGATTTCCACCGAACTTCGTCGAAAGCTCGTAGGCTTGTTTGTATGCAAAGAAGCAAAAGTCGTAAAGAATGTATTAAAATAACTAAAATACTTGAGCGGTTTTTTCTCACTTTTGATAAATGATCATTTTCTTTTGAATTTTGTTCCACCAAAATGATAATCTAAAACTCTTTTCACGCATTGATCAGTTGATTTGATTAAATTTTAATGCAATCCCGTAGAAGAACAAAAAAAATTGTAACATTGCCCGTGCAAAGTTCAAGTGAAAAATCGGTCAATATTTAAAAAAAAAACCTCGTCTACGTTTCATTTTTATTCTCTCTCGCATGATCTAAAGTTTATGCAAATATTCATAAGTTTTTCTTCCACCACATACAGTATATGATAAGAAAGACCGCTTTGCTACTATATGTTACACGTGATTTGCTTACAAAAACTTCTTACTTCACTTTGATATTTGTTAGTGGTGAACATTTTGATGCGTTTCTCTCTCTTTTCCTTCTCCATATTTCGCGCAAGGGTGGTGAAATTGTGTACACCATGCCAGACAATTCATACACTTCCTATAATATGTGCCAAACTTGATGCAACCCTAAAAACTCTCTATTTTAATAAAACAAATGGCAATTTTTGAAATTGAAATATTTCGCATAGTTTTTTCCCCCGTCCTTTACAACGGTGCGGGTAGATGTGCGGTGATTTTGCATGAATGCAAAACTTTTTCGATTTTATGAAATGTCAACTGCATTTAAATTGACTCTGCAGCTGTTACAAAAATGTTGATTTTTCCCATTTTCTTTTCAAACATAAAATTTGTTCGACTCATTGTTCTTGTTGCTATTTTACTGTTCGTTTGGTGCGCTTCCGTCATCAATCATTGCACGGTCGATTTCTGACAGTGTTGAAACAAGAACAAAAAAAAATCGTGCACTTTTGAGAGCAAAACCAACAACAGCCAACCATTATAGAATACTGAAATGCAAATGTGCATAATGTGAATTGAATTTTCCTGAAATTGCGGCAAATGCCAATCAATGTGAAATGAAATATTTGGGCTTTTCAACAAATACGAAGAAGAGAGAGCGAGAAGAAGAAAAAATAATTTTGATATAAATTCTATTGAATTTATTGATTGATTACGTGATGATAGCGTGCGACGATGCAGTGCACTACTGCATTATCAAACGGCATTGGAATTATGCAATCGATGAGTGCCAGAAATGCATCGCATTATAATAAATTTAATTGCTTTAATTGCATCGATTAAATAATCTAGCACATTGCATGTAGAGAAAAACATAAAAAATATATTTTTTTTGTCAGATCACATCAAAGCAAACCGTTCGCAACCGAACGGTTAAAAGTGTAGTGTTACCACAATAGTAATAATGATGATATTGCAATATACTGGTGATTAAAAACCTTGGTAATATTTAGCAACATCAAATGGACATACGGCCTCGTTATTGCTTTTCACCTTCCGTTTTAAATTCGTGCAAAAATGCCGAATCAATTGAAGAAATTCCATTGAAATCAATATGATAGAAAGTGGAAAATACTTGGCATAGACATGCATTGAATGCAATATTATAGAGTGCAATTCATATACACATATGTGAATATATTACTAGACAAAGATATGTTAAACAATGCAAAAACACACGTTTGAAAATGCGCATTGCAAACCAATTTGTCGGTTTGTACATAGACACCACAAATAGATCACGTAATTCGACATTATTTAATGAATGAATTCATTATTCGGACAGCCTAGAACAATTAGAGGAGAATGTGTTTCACACGTAATGAATACGAGATGGAAAATAGTTTAAATTTTTTCGACAACGTCACTCATCGAACGATTTAAATTCAAGGAATTCCATAATTATAAACTTCGTCTCTTGCACAATGAATGTTGTCAAGTTATCGAAATAGTTCGCCCCAGTTTTTTTAATCTGTCTTATCATTTCCGAAGAACTGGAAAAAAATGCTTGCGAATATATTGTAAGATTTAGATAAATTACATTTCATCGTTGGGCTCTTAAAATCTTGTATTGAATTGGGCACGGTGATTATTTTTCAAATATTTGTTTTGCAAAGATGAACACAAATACAGCCATTTTAAATTGTAATTACGTGCTACAAGTTTCTGATTACATTTCTTTGGAAAAAATATATCCCAACACTCAGAAAGCAACAGGAGAGAAGTGAAACGAATTAGCTTAGCATTTCGCAGAATTTCTATGGAGGCGACTTCATTTTCAAATTGGCAAATGGCATTTGAATTCCACCGAAAATGAGAAAATACACAAAAGATGTGCTCACCGGATTTTAAGCTCCAAATAATTTGAGTGTATTAAGCGAATATACGTGGTCGACAACATTACAAATTAATTTATTCAAAGTGCGTGCGCCTGTCTTGGCATTCTTTGCCTTTGCTTTCTGTACTTGAGAACGAAATGAAAAAAAGCAGAAGAATAATAAGAGTATATGGAAGAGACTGATCACCATCCCACTGTGTTGAATTCCAACTATGAAAATTGATAGACACATTTACCGTATGCACGCACACAAATACCTGACTGGTATCAGAGCATCGTGTTGCATTTGTTATCGCCTTTGTTTATTGAGCGTCTGCATTTTAATGCATCCACACACACACACAAATACCGTACATTAAAATGCATTCATTTAACCAAAAACACGAACCGAAACCCCATGAATAGATTTACTTCTGGATTTTTCTGTTCATTTCATCCGGTGTATTTACGTGGCTCAGGTGAAATTATTCGTCGGGCTTGCCAGCACCAATAACCATAACACAAGCATTTAGTAAACATTAATTTGACGACGACGACGACGACAACGACAGTAACAACGACAACACGATGCCACGGCCTACACACAGTCGCCACTTGGTTGCACTATTCAGAATACAAGATCCATTGTACAGTGAAAAGAGTTCATAAACACGCTCACACGGCCAATCCAAGCGATTTACACATGATGAAACAGATAGAGAAAAAACCCAACCATACTTTACCAAAGTCATTTAAGAGAAATAGAAATTGCGATACAAGAGAAAGAGAAGAAAATATATAAAAAATCCAACAACAAATGAAGTGAAAAAAAGACCAAATAAACGTGACAGAATCGAGAATGCTCTCAACTCTCTGTATGTTGATGAAATGGCATAAACTCATTTTCATTTTCTATGCGACTATATGTACGCACCATGGTTACATGCAAAACAAACATAAATGACATTTGTCGAATAAAAACTACAAACAAACTTGCCCGGTTACTTATAAATCCATGCGAACAATTTATTTTTATTTTGTCGTTGGCATGTCCCCATGTCCACGAGTATTGGGTACAATGACTGCTTTGCTCTCTCCCTCTCTCTCTCTCTCAATAGTTACAACACAGAGTAGGAAAAAAAAGTAACGCATAAGTGTTCGAGTCGGCCACTCTATGATCGTGATAGTTTATGCATGAGACGCATTCACCCACAGCGAGAGATAGAAAGAGAAGCAATTGCAGCTGAAGAATTTTTCTGTTTACTTTTTTTTTGTTCTCTTTCACTTTGCGTCGATGTTCCTCTCCGCTCACACAATGCTCATACGTGAAGTTATAATAACGTTTCATACCTGAATGAATAAAACGCACGTACACATTATCAATTTCTTGTGTTGTTTTCATTTACTGGTGTGCCACACTATAAATGCTGTATGTGTGAATGCTGAATAGACGGTAATCACGTGTCTCCCTTACTCTCATGCTCTTTTGTTGTTCGACAGTTTTTTTTATGGCACATTCAACATTGACGTGAGTTTTATACGTTTCAGCAATTCATAGAGTGAAACAGTGTATCCATTTAAAATGTATACGAAAAGCATTGAACAACAAAATAAAAATATTCACACCACTATGCCAAAGCCTCAAGCATACTATGTTTGTGTGTCGTTGGTGTTGTTTTTGTTTTAGTAATTGTCTTTTATGCGATGTGTGTGAGAGAGTATGTGTGCGTGGTTGACTAAACTCACTTGGAACGATCAGGTTTAAGTGCGTTAATATACTGCTGCTTCTTCTTCTTCTTCTTTTTCTCTATTTTCCTCATTCTCAATTTTTAAATGTTATTCTACTCTATATCGATGTGGTGTGTTTTGACTGTGTCGTGAACGAGTAAAGTAGCAACGGCATACGGTGTGAGTGTGCTATGGCTACACAAAATGCGATATTGTGATTAGTTAGCGTGGATTTGTTAACGAGTGCGGGTTAAACAAAAACAACACAGCAATGTTCGAATATTGACAACAGCAAGTGTGTGAATTTTTTTTATTGTGTTACTGTTGTTGGTGATTCTTCTGGCCATTCTAACTGCGTATTATATAAAATTTATTATCGATTGCCATCACTTCCGAGAATGATCGAAAAATGAAATTAGATTTTTGGCATCATT